ATCTTTGTTTTTGTCGCCTGTTTTGTCAGTATAGGTCTCGCTAGCTTCAAGAGCAGCCGGTAAACCTTAGATATCCATGTAGGTGGAAGGCAAAAATTATGATGCTTACACAATATTATTATCGGTGGTATATATGAAGACTATTTTCCTTACTGAAGAAAGGAAAATATGCTTAATAGCAGGTGTGGGCGGCTTCAGACCTGCCCTACAGGGCCCAGGGCCGATAGAAGCTATTTGAGCCCCACATGTCCGGATCCACCCCAGATCACTGGGACACAAGGAATGCAGACATAGAGATGGCAGCACCCACCATAGAAGGGTTGATAAGAGCACCTGGAGCCCGACCCCCAAAGGGGCCCAGTCCTGAGGGGCCCAACCCATATTGCCAAGGTTGGGGCAGGGAGCTCGATGTCTCTGCGACAGCCGGTAGACCTGGATGAGAGTCCAGGGGTCCGAGGCCAGGGGGTGCTCCAGCCCCCATTGTGGACCCCACAGGGTCAGTAGGCCTAAGCCTGGCCTGGCAGCCACCAGTAATGAGACAAAGCCCACCAAAGTACCCAACCTCACACCTAGAGAGCCATCAGCGTGCCAGCAGACACAGGCACCTCTCATCAGTGTGGAGCATAAAAAAAGCAAGGAGTCAGGCCCTGCTCTTGGGTCCTAGGATGTTCCAGTAGGACCATTCATTCATTTTGCAAATATTTTTCAAAATAGCTTTGGAAAACCAGATTTTATCTCAATATGTAAGTTTTGCTCACTAACTGGGAGTGTGATAGTTACTTAAAAAAATAATATTAACGGATGGAAAGTTATGCAATGTTATCGCTCCTTGGATAGAAGATCTGACATGATTACCTTCGGTTGAGTCGACTGACATCCACACCTACCTGATGGAGAAACCTAGCCATGTATAGTACAGAGAAACTGAGTTTTACTACGAACACACTTAATTAACCATTAGCTAAAAGAAAATATCTGTATTATGAGTGAAATAACTGTTACTCAGTTTCAATAAGTGGCACATAGCATTATGAGAAACCTCTATATAACGCTTCTTAAGCAGACCATAATCCATACTAATGAAAGCCAGTGTTTTATTTATCCAAAATTACCTGATATGAAGTTGCACTGTATATGGGGGCATCATTTTTGCTAGTATTTTCTGTCCGCTCCACTCTTTTTATTATATTTAACCACAGCTAGTGGCGGTTTTTGTTTCTGGCAGTGGCAGCAGGTGTATGATAAAATGTAAAATTGCCTTTACTCCATTGATTATGGTAACCAACAGCACACAGTGAAATTTTTTACCCAACCTTGTGCAGGTTTGTAGTGGCCGCTTCCAGTTCTGACGCAACTGTAACGTCGGCAGAAAGAGTCTATTGTTGCAGTTTTCTCTTATGAGTTTATCTTTACATTTAGCCTTAGATACAATTCAGCTCTATTACCTAACAAAAAAAAATACTCAAGTTTTTTCATTTTTGTTTTACGATGTTGCTTTTACTGTTAGTTTTCTGCGTTAATGATTTTAGAAGATACGACACTCGTTTTTAACCACTTCATATTCCATTGGGTTTATTTACTGTACAAAAAGGGAACATATGCACATGTATTAACATACTTTTAGTAGTTATCAAAGTGCCAACAACAGATCCTTTTCCATTCCCTCCTGGATACCTTAAACCAGCCGTGAGGAAACGAGGACTGGGTTGATCTTCTCCGACCCGGTCTGAGGTGGTTTCAGCCAGATTCAACCTGTGATCCAACAACTCACAGAAAGCGGTCATGGTTAACAAAGCGTACTGCTGCTTAACTGTCAATGCAGCAGAGTCATATGAGGCGAAAACACCTGGGCTGCCAGACCTCCACTTTCTCTTATGTCTTACATTTAGTTAGGATCTGGAGCCAGACACTGCATTTAATCGTAAGTACTGATGGAAGCGGTAAACTGTAGAAGATGAACCTGTTCAAAATTTAAGACACCCAGAGAGGGATGATTGTAACATTTCTTTTTATTTGTAATCATGAAACAAAAAATTACATTTTTACTGGTAGAGTTAAAAAAATGAGAAGCCTCAATCTCCATCTGTTGTTTTTCTGCATGTTATTATTGAACCGAAGATTTTTATATAATATGCTCTCCAGACTATGTTGTGGTTGGAAAAAAAAAGGGCAGAAAGCTTAGCAGGAAGATCAACTGTTCTTTCATCCTGAGCTATGTTAAGAAGCTAAGCATGCTTTTATCTTGTGGTATGCTCTGCTGCCAGTGAAGCCATCCTCTGGAGTCTCATCGGTCTGCCCTCCTTCCTCACTCAGACCCCTGGATTATCGACGTTTACACAAGCAAGCTCAGAAAGGCACAGAAGGGTTACAACTGATATTAGACTTTGCATTTTAAGAGCAATATTTCCGTTTGCATTTTGGTATGTAAAACCTTGGGACTCGCTGCTTTTGTCTTGAGTGCCGTTTGAGATCTGAACCATTAAACGGCTGAAATCCTACTAGGATGTCTTGGTGGAATTGAATGGAATTTGATATGCATTTCTATTGGGGCTGCGGCTAACGATTGTTTTGCAAATTGATTAATCTGTCTTATTTTGTCGATTAATAGATTCATAATTGGATAGCCAAAAGTTCCTTATAGAAGGATTTTTACGAAATTTAAATTTTCCACTTAAGTTCTGGATAGAGCATATTGACAGATGAAAACTATTTTTTTTTATCTTTAATGCATAATGTTTTTTTTATTTTTTACAATTTTGATATAATTACTGCTCCAAGCGGGTCACTCTGTCAGCTAAATGCATGTTTTAGAGTCTCTATACTCCAGTTAAAGATTAATCGATTACAAAATTAGTTAACAATTATTTCAATCTATTAATCCGATTAATTGTTTGAGCCCTAATTTCTATGCTATTCTAGATAAATCTAGCACTGAACTACAAAGATGTAATAATAATAAAAAGCTACTGACTGTAGCTGCAACCCTGGGAGATGAATAGTCTGATTTCTTATTAAGTTTTGGTTTAATTTTGTAACAATTATATTTAGTCTTTTATATGATGGAGAATACATCTCACTAGAGGAGTTTATTCTACTAGAATAAAGTTTGATCTTAAGTTTTATTAGAGGTCTTAAGTTTTGTGTCATCCTTTATTTCTTACAAATATACAAATAAGTTTTTCAGACCCTAATTCTTAGAATACAATCCTGACTTTTATTTTTGCTTTACAGTTATGTATGTCTTTTGTACAGTAATTTAAACTAAAGCAACACAAATTTTCAATGTTTAATAATCATAAATGATAATAAACATCATGTTAAGTAATGTGATTTTCTTTATAGAATTTAAGTTGGATTTAGATAAACTGCTAGAATTTCCCCCTGGTGTAAAAGTAAATTATTTTTTATGTTTTGTTTTTCATTATTTTAAACATTATTTACTAATATAGAGGCTTTAACAGAGACACCTTCAGAACGTTTGTTCACTGCCGAATTAGTTTTAAAATTAAATTCATTATAAGTTTCAAATATTTTATCCAGATCAGAACCTCAAAGGACTTATAAAAATAAAATGGAGGTATACTGTAGAGGTGTGTTCATTTTGAGATAATATTGAATACTGAAAGTGATTGCTCCAAAATTAACACCTATGAAAAAATGTAACTATACTTGATTTTCTACAAAATGGACCTAATTTTTTTTCCACTTGTGGACAAAAAAAAGCTATTTTTAATTTTCATTTTTCCCAAAATGTCAAATGACATGGAAACAAGAGAAAAGAAATGCCACTGTAAATCCAGGCGCAGGGGACGAACATGCAAGTACCACAATGAAAAGCCACATCTGGGTTTCAAACCTACAACCTTCTTCAGCCATAAAATACCAGAGGTTACTGCGAATAATCTGATATCTAGGTTTAACCACATCAAATCACTTTTGAAGCCTTTAGTTTATCATGAAGTGTACAAGTCAAAGCCGTCCATTGGTCAATGTGTGCAAGCAAAAACAAAATCACGGACTATAACAGAAAGTTCATGCATTGTCTGTGTTTTCTAGATTTTTTTTGCCCCGACAAACAAAAAGAACAGACAGAAAGTGTTCCGCTTTCTAAACATTTTTAATCCTGGTTTGCAATGTCTGGTTTTATTATTATGTTATTATTACTTTTGTCAAACCCAAGTTATTTTTGTCACGATTGTGGGTTTTTCTTTTATTAAACAACAGCTACCAAACATTTTTTTTACGCTGTCACATAGCGTGCTTAGCCTCCTGTTCATTTTCCATGCTCTATTCACCACCGACTTTGCAAAGTAGAAACCATGAATGTCCATTCTGCTGCATCACAGTTAAACTCTATGATTCGGGACACACAGAAGTGGCCTTTTCTTGTGTGATTTATTTTGCAGCAGCGAAATTCTCATTTGATCTTTCACAGTTTATCTTGGATCTGGTTACAGGAAACTGTTACATTTACACTTTTTTTTTCAATGAATAGAAGAGCTTGTGAGAGGCTTTGGGTTTGTAAACAGTGAATCTCCAGAAGGCAGAATGACATTACACACAACACAAGCAGTGATAAATCCTTTTTCTTTTTAAACTATTTTTAGATTCACCCGTTTTCTTTTTAAAGATCCATTTTTAACTGTATCTGCAGCACTAATTATAAATACAATATTTTTATTGAGGCATAAATGAGGCACTTTATGCTGTTGGAATTTGTTTGCCGTCTGCCATCTGCAGTATAAAAGTCAAGGCCAATAAAAATAAAAATATTGAAAACTAGGAACAATTTATCAGTAAACTGCTGAAAAACACGAGGCAAAGCTTTCTATAAATATGACTTTATTGGGTTTTAGAAGTGTGGATAAATTTTACATTTAAGATGGACTGGAATGGTTTAATCAGGGATTTTGCAAACAGCTGTGTTAAAAGGGGATTCTTCTTGAACGTTCGCAGCTTTTTGCTGTTCGTCCTCTAATTCCCCTCCTCTCTGTTTTCAGGTAAGAAGAAGCCGGTCCTGAAGCTCTCCAAAGAGGTGTTTGAGCAGCCTGCACCTGCAGCAGTGTAAGACTGTTTTCCTCCAATCCTGCACTGTATTGATCCTTACTTCCTGCTCAGCTCATCTTATCTCAACCCTGTCGTACTGCTGAATATGGGGAAAAACAAATCCACAGACCAACCGGAAGAAATCCTGCAGATCAGCAGGCAGATTTCTGCTTTCGGCTTGTTTTTGATCATTAATACCCGAAACCTCATGTTTGAATGTTTCAATCTTCATGTTTAAATTTAAAAATAATTAACAGTTTTTTCCAGATATAAACAGCTAGTAGGGTTGTCAAAAGTATTGATTATCAAGCACTGTATCTGGATACAAATTTTGCATGCTGTGGATACTAAATATGTGTTTGCATTTATTTATTTTTTAATTTCTAGATTATTTGCACAACCTAAAATAAATATAGTCAAACTGTCTTATATTTGGGTAATTAATTTTACGTTTGTTTGCACACCTAATTAATATAATCTTTTATTATTGAGAAAGCACCCCAGATTAGAAAAAGGTTAGTTTTTCCTGTTAATAAACTATTTTATGCCTTCAGTTATTTTGGCATTTTTTATTTCCATGGTACCAAGTATTGAATATTTTCCTGTTTATCGATATTTAGATTTAAGTTTAGGTTTTAGGTTTAAACTATCTTTTACATTATTTGTGTTTGCTCTTATTGCTTTTTCTTCCACATTTCTATTTCAAATTAGTTTTTTTTATTTATTTTATTTACTTTCTTTTCATCTTTTATTTGCTTCTTTTATAATCATCTTTTTGCATGTATTTTTCTGAAAAAAGGAATTTTTATTTTAAAAATGAAAAAAAAAAAGGGCTGTAAGATGAAAAATTAAGAAAATACTGTTGGCATCCTTTCATCCACTTTGGATGAGTGGGAAAAATATTAACAGAACATTAAATATTTATTTTTGCTCTGTGTTTCAGTCATTGGAGGCCTTTTCTTGCCGTTGTTTTTTTTTTTTTTTTTTTTTTTATTTTGCAGCCTTTTAAAGTCCAGATAAACCAGTTTGTGTTTTTCAGACCCCCCAGAGATTTGGACTCAAAGGCTCACGTAACAATCGGAGAAAAGGTAATTCTGTTTTTTCTTTTGTTCTACCTTTCCTGACCTCATTCAACTTTTCTGTTTGCTGTAGCATCTCACTGTGGATTTACCGTTTATCCACTCTAGCTGGCTCAGAACAGCCTCTGTTGGCTGTAAAGAACGCTCCGGTGGGCATTACTGCTGTCTCTACCATTTCAGATTGTGGGAAAACTGGAATGCTCTTTAATGCCCATCATGCTATAAAAGTGTTTATTTTAAACTCCTCAAATAATAGGAATTTTCCATTGGCAGAAGGGCTAGATTTTTTTTTCTTTTCAAAGAGGAAAAAGAAAAACAGAAGAAAAAAAAGCTTATTTTCCGTCTTGTATGTGAATAAAACCCTAAAGTCAACTGGCAGCTCTGCTGACATGAAGCAGATATTGGTTGTGAAGGGTTCTTCCCCCTCTGACGTTGTCCTCTCGCTGTGTTTGGAGCAGAAATGTGAGGTGAAAGCTGATGATCTGGAGCAGATATGCGAGCTCGGTCGAGGAGCGTACGGTGTGGTGGACAAAATGAGGCACGTGCCCAGTGGTCTGATCATGGCTGTTAAGGTAAGGGAATCAAAGTCACCCAGAAGATCCGATAAAGACTGACTCTGCTTATTGACTTTAGTCACACACCAACTCTAAGCATCACAGGTTACCTTTTAAAGTCATTGATTCTGTTTAAATGTTGAAGGAATGTTTTATTTCACTTGAGGCTGTGCAGAGCAGCTATGTGCAGCCAGTATTTTTGCTCCAGAAGACTGTTGTCTGTATTTAAGTTTGAAGAATGGGGGATGAATTGTCATGAGAGGCATCCTGATTAGACCAGGGTTCAGACAATTAGCTACGCTTTTGCAGAAGTGTTCCCACTTCTGCAAAAGCAAGCAAAGACAGAGATGCGTGATTATATAATGCCAGGTTGGAAAGACATTAGCAATGACCTTCGAAGCAACTGTGCACAAATCAGAAAGGCTATAGGCCAAACCATTTGGAACACATCATTCTATGATAAGAATTATTTGCAAATTCAACCCAAGAACAGATTGAGCAGCGCTTGGAGACATGAAAGAAAAACTGCCAAGGCTTCATATATCTTGTTAAGTATCAGCAGTTATTAAATGGTCTTCTCTTTATAAAAATATAGCTGCACATTTTACATTCATAAAGTTGCAAACAAATGTGCACCAGCAGATGTCTCCAAATTGAAATGTGCTGTAAAGGGCGAGCAAAGCTAATGCTAAAGATAGTTCATACAGCTTTGTTGTTACCTAAGATTTACCTTAATTAGATTTTGGTTTAATTTATTTGGTAAATAAAACATAAACAGCAATGTTAGCATTGATACAGACAGACGTTCTGATGACTCGTTGTATTGGCTGCCATTCCAGCGGATTCGGGCCACCGTCAACACTCAGGAGCAGAAGAGGCTGCTGATGGACTTGGACATCTCCATGAGGACAGTGGACTGTTTCTACACAGTCACCTTCTATGGAGCGCTGTTCAGAGAGGTATGACCACAGTGAAGAATTTATAAGAAGACACTTAGGAAAAAATATCAGCTCAGCTCTTTATAAAGCTTAAAGAATATTTTTAGCTTGTTTTTTTTTATTTTATTTAGAAATTTCAAAAATTGAGCCATTTTAAAGCAACTGATTGCTAGCTGTATGATGGATCTTTAGTTTTAGTTTTGTTTTTTTGTGGGAAGATAAAAAGAATCAAAGAATATTCCGAAATGAAATTTGATGATTTCTGCAATATTCAGATTTCAGTAAAATAACATTATAAACATTAATGTGCAACACTATCCAATTTGAGATACTCCTGTTAATAAAACAATAGGTTTTACTGAGAAGCCCAGCAACGGGAGAATTGAAAATACTTAATAATAAATGAATAATTTTGTTATTTTTAGTCAATATTTCACAGCTCAACAAAAAAGACAAAAGTATTTTAAACTTTTCAGTAGATTGAAAGTTACTGGATTTAAATCAATATCTCAAAGCCTCACCACAAGTTAATAAAATGCTGTGATTTTTTTCCCCCTGCTATATTTAAAGATGGTTAATAATAATAATGTAGGATATTTATATGATTAAACCAAAACCTGTACCTTTAAAGCTAGGATTATCATATTAGGTGTGCAGCACAAACAATTAAAGTCCTGAAGAGATACACGAGACGTGAGACTGAGAGAGGTATCTCAATGTATTTAACCTGTTTACAGCTTTTTTTCAGTTGGCTTATCACATTATAATGCTTGAATTTACAAATACATTCCAGAAAATCGTCATCTTTTTGTATTTAACTGCTTTTACGTTGATGCCTTCTAATAAATTCCAGTCAGACCAGTTAACTACAGTAGTCACCTAATGAGAAAGAACAAGAACAATCTTACCTCTTGTGTTTTGATCCATGGCATCAGTAAGATTATTTCCCTGGGATTTTTAGAACAAAAATAAAAAATTATGTGACAGCAATAGAAAAAAGGAAACCTCAATAGAAAATGATCTTATATTAGAAGAACATATGTGAGCTGTTTCTGCATCCATTGCTGAACGAAAGACTAAATCTGCACCTTTTTTCCTCACATTCTGCCCATTCAATCCTCTTTGAGGGATTTTTAATTAAACTTCCTGCAACAATGAATGAGGATCTCCCGGTATTGCCTTAGATTTTAAAACATCTTGATGGTAGTAAGGCTGCTAACCTCCCTCTTCCTCCTATCTGTTGCCAGGGCGACGTCTGGATCTGCATGGAGCTGATGGACACCTCCCTGGATAAGTTCTACAAGCAGGTGATCGAGAAAGGTTTGACCATTCCTGAAGACATCCTGGGAAAAATCGCCGTCTCTGTGGGTTCATTTCAGCAGCAGCACATGAAAACATGCTCCAAATATTTGTTACACAACACTTGTTTGCTTATAAGCTGTCTTTGTTATTACAGATAGTAAAGGCTCTGGAGCATCTGCACAGCAATCTGCAAGTCATCCACAGAGGTAAGAGGCTGAGTGGAAATCCATTTAACTCTCTGAGATCCTGTCAATATCCAGACAGCCGCTTCCTTCCTTTAGACTATTTCCGGATCCTATTAAAGGATCATAACGGCATCATTATGATTCAGTAAAATTCTGAAATGAGCATCTGGGTCTGCTGAGGAGCACTCTGCAGTTGAATGTCTTTGGTTTCCTGCCGTTGTTCTAATAAACTCTGCTCCTCGGTCAGTTGCTTTCCTTAATGCATCAACACATTTCAAATCTCAAATGGCCAGAATGACTGAGTCAGCATGACCGGACAGGGTTCCTATGCAGTCTGGAAAAGTATGGAAATATATTTGATTTTCCAGACCTAACCTACTATCCATTAGTAACATCGGGATCTCTTCTTCCTTGTTTCATTTATTAAATTAATTTAGTTAAATGTGCCATTCTATCCTACTCTTTTTCTTTCTTTCTTTCCTTGCTATGTGCTTTATAATTAGCCAGGTATTAAGTCCCAGTGTTCACGGGGATGGACGTATTCTGCATCTTCGGCAGGCGTAGACCTAACATAACTGGCAGTGTTGCGAGGCAAGGGCTCAAACATGTACGGCTGTAAGCCTTCTACACCAAACCAAGCTTCTGCCGCCCTGGCGTCCTCTTCCACAACAACTTCGTGCCCGCTTTCCTCCTCTAAATACAAAATGTATTACAAAGGAGACTCATCCACGACCTCCGACACAAAACTCTCCTCCTCTTGCATGTTTCTACTGTCCATAGCGTTCCTTGACAGTGTCGTTTCTAAGTCACCAACTTAGTGCTACTTGGTCCCAATTAGGGATGCACGATATAATCGGCCCCCTATTGGTATCGGCCTGTATCGGCCTTAAAACTGAATATCGGACATTGGCCACCCCACCGATATTTAACCCGATATTTGATCAGTTTCTGAGTTTCTAAAGTCTAACAAAAATACTACTTCTTCTTCTTCCTCAAAAACTTCTTTTTTACAGACTTAAAAACTTCTAAAGACGAGGGAAAAAATATTGATAGATTAAAATATCACAATATCTTCATATGCTGATATATTGCCATTTAAAAACACCATATCAATCTCTTTTACTAATGAAATATTGCTATATGTCATCGTTATGCTATGAAATCCTCCGAAAATCCACGAAATTTTGCCATATTTTTATATGTTGATATATTGACGCAGTATCGATCTATTTTACTAACAAAATCTCACAAGAATTAGCAAAATATCACGAGAGTTGCTAACAGAACGATGAAATTTCACGAGATTTTGAAAGTAAAATAGATCGATACAGCGTTTTTAAAAATCAATTTGATATCAGCATATGAAAATATATTTAAGTATACTTAGTATTTAGTATTAAGTTTCAATGACTACTTATTTTTGTCCAGCTTTAACATCAGTATCGATATCTGTTATCGGCTACATGAGTTTTAAAATATCGGCATATCGGATATCGGCCAAAATCCCAATATCGTGCATCCCTAGTCCCAATGTATTTTCCCATTGGGAACCTACTAGCACTAAGTTACTAACCGGTTGGCAACGATGCTTCAGAGAAACCGGCTACAGTCAAACTTGTTTGCAAACCTTCCATCACAACCACCCCGTCCTGTTGATAAAAGACCAATTACATTCATTTTATTCACTCGTGTAAAGTCGTGCACCACTTGGGAGAATTCGGAAATGCAACAGTTGGAACAGCCCCTTCCCTACGACTTTTAAGTTTCTACCCCAAGACCTTTTAAACTTGTAAGGAGAGACTATAGTTCAGCTAAATGGGTAAGGATTAAAAGGCCAAGCAGCACCTTTCTTACTACTAGGGGGAACTTTGCTCAGCTGTAAAAAATCTATCAAAGACCCTCAGAAATAATTGAAGGTCTGACTGAGACCTAGTGGATTTTCTATTGCCCTGCAATCTCTGTATGCAATTGCTTAATGGTGTAGGTGCATATCCATTAAACACTGAAAAATAAATTTTGAAAGGTTGTAATTTAGAAAATTAGAAAAGTCGGAAATGCCAAATTTAGCCAAAATGTGACAGTGCTGGAATCTGGTTGGCTTTTCACAGAAAACCTTTAAATCCCCATTATAAAGACTAGCTAATGGTTTGAGAGTTCAAAAACATCCCAGCAAAGACAAGTGTTAAACAGTTTCTAATTATTTTAAACACTTTATATTTGATCTAACAGTTTTGCAGATCTTATCAACATGACTCCTAAAATTTAACTGAGCTTCCAGAATTATTCCTAAATTTTCTTGTGATAGTAGCTTAATAGGGACCCCATTGATCCGGATATTCTGTAATGACGTTTTCTTGATTAAAAAGCAAATGCATTCGTTTTCTTGGTATTGAAAGTCAAGCAAGAATCATTTAGCCATGGTAATGAAAGTTTTTCACTGACTACAAATACTGTTCTTGTCCGATGTATAAACAATGGTGTCATCAGCATACTGTACATTTGCAAGTTAACTTCAGGACAAATTTCAGGAAAACTCTTAACATGCACACTAAAGAGGACCGGACCTAAGATAGTTCCTTGTGGGATTCCTGTTACTATTTTACGGAAGAGAGATTAACTATTATTAATGACAACACATTGTTCAGACTGGTGTAAGACGAATGCAATGATTCCTAAAGTTGCCGGCCGTGATCAACCCCTTTGGGGTATTGAGATCCAATAAATATTAAACTTGTATGTTAGATGGCTTAATGGTATAAAAGCATCACTTAAAATTTATAAAACCAAGTACTTTGGTTATTTATGCTTTTTTTTTAAATATTAATACACACGTAGTTAATCTTATTTTGTTGAAATATTTAAACACTAAACCAGTAGTTTGGGTCATGAGCTGAACAGTCTAGGAGCCTCTGCTCTACTGCATAAACATAGATTTATAATTAGCTTGAAATTAGAGAAAAGTTTGTGTCTCTTGTCACCTGAATAACATCCTTGAGTTTGATTTCTAAATTCTTAATTTTCTTACATTTCTTTCACTTGGACTATAATAGTCAACAAAATGTGGGTTCCTAGTCGGCCTTTTACTTTTGAGATATCACCTAGTGCACACTGATATGCATTTGATTTGTCTATACTGCCACTATTCATAATACTTTTTATCGGTATGTGCCGCAGGATAAGTCTGGTTCTCTGTTTTTTGATGGATCAAACCTCTTTTTTCTCTGTTGTTTCTGTAGATGTGAAGCCCTCTAATGTCCTCATCAACACTCAGGGCCAGGTGAAGATGTGCGACTTCGGTATCAGCGGCTACCTGGTGGACTCTGTGGCTAAAACCATGGACGCTGGCTGCAAACCCTACATGGCTGTAAGCAGCATCCTTCCCATGAATAGGAGAGGCACCCTGCTCTGTATTTTTATCTTTAAAACAGATCAACAATGCTGTCTGTTTGTGCAGTTTTAGCAAACTTTTAAGCAAAGAAAAGAACAATGGCATGAAGAGAGATAGGGTAAATGCTTAGCAGTATTTAAGTCAGCTTGATGAACCTTTTTTAAATGAAAATCATAAACAATATACGGTTTCCTCTGAGTTGGTGTAAGACTGGAATTGCGGTTTTATGTGTAACTGTTGTGATCTTTTAATTTCTGCTACCTCAGCCGGAGAGGATCAACCCAGAGACGAACCAGAAAGGATACAACGTCAAATCCGACATCTGGAGTTTAGGGATCACAATGGTAAGGCCTCTCACGTACATTTATTTCTCTTCATTTGTTTATCTCTGCTTGACTTTAATTGTCCAAAGAGAGCTAGAGTTTCTTTGAAGCATGACACTAACAGCAAAATTGTCAAAAGTTTTAAACACCTTTTAAAATCTGAAGAGTTTAGCGTCAAAGACGTTGCTTTCCTTAATTACATCAGGTGATAAGCGTCACTGCACCAGTGAAGCTTTGTCAGCAAATGTTTCGTAGTATATATTATCCTTTGAAGGAAATGATACATGCAAAATGTTTTACGTTGTTAAAGATATCACTGCTAAATTAAAATCTTCAGCAGCTTTAGTAGAGAAGTTTGCATGGCCTGTTTTCAATGTTTAAAGTTTTTCTTGGAGCTTGAAAATAAGACAAGACCAGGAAAGAGACCTGCTGATCAGGCTTTTTATTTGTTTGGTATTTTGTGGGACATTTAGACTTGATGGTAGGCAGTTTTTACCGCCTCTGACACTAACACGTTTTATTATATTTCCATCATTTTGGGGTGGGGGCGTTACAGTCTAGGCAGTAGAATGAGGACCATTTTTTCAACTTCACAATCAAAATGAGAACCAATTGTTGTAAAGTGTGGATATTTTGCTGGTCCTCATAAGGTCTTTTGCTAATGTTTAGTTTTAGGGCTAAGGTGACAATTGGGTTAGGGTGACGTATGCATTGGTAATGGTTAGGTTTAGGGTTAGGGCATAGAAAGGGTTGAAAATGACTAAGAATCAATTAAATCAATGGGAATCAACACATGGTCCTCACTACATATAGCAGAACAAACATGGTTGTGTGTGTGTGTGTGTGTGTGTGTGTGTGCAGATCGAGCTCGCCATCCTGCGCTTCCCCTACGACTCATGGGGAACGCCCTTTCAGCAACTGAAGCAGGTGGTGGAAGAACCTTCGCCCCAGCTTCCTGCCGACCAATTCTCGCCGGACTTTGTGGATTTCACCTCTCAGTGGTACGTCTTTATGTTGCTCTCTTCTTATCCACTTCAAGGAAGTGCAAAACGGGGAGAAAAAAAAAAGACTACCACAGATCAGACAGTAAATCATTGCTTATTGTGTTTTCTGTGATAAAATGTATGCTTTTATTTCTTCATAAAAATGTATGTTTGGCTGGAAGTAATTTAATTTTACATAATAATAGAAACAATTTTAATACAGATAATAAGTTAGACAGGCATAAAGACCCAAAGAGGGAATCCAGAAAAATCTTCACCTCTGATTTTACAGGTGAATGCTATACATTTTCATCAAAACAATACGTTTAAAAAATAATACATCTGGAGAACTTTTAAATGTAGAATAAGTTATTGTTATTAAGAAAAATGCAGCATATATATATAATTGTTTTTCTAAATTTAAACCGGTCTGAAATATAATATATGTGATTATGATGGCAACCTCAACAATAGGATTAGAAGGTTGGAGTAATTTGAGACCCTAGCCTAGCTCTTTGATAGAGCTGAGAAAGGCCTTAATGTCATTGCTACATTTCTCAGATGCAAGCCAACATAAGAAAAGAGGCAAAACTAAATTTAACATCTTTTAGGCTTTTGGGGTATTGCTTTTTTTTGATGCAAAAGGACTCAGAAGCCAAACGAAGGTTGTTGCTTTATTTTATTCTTGAAGAGTTAAGGAAATGTTTGTGAATGTTAACAATTAGCAGCAATCTGCTGGCAAATGGTACAGAAGCAGTGTGTGTGAGGGCACAACCTACTGGATGGGAGGGGATAAACTTGTGGCTATCTCTTTTAATTAAGATTAAATGTTTAGTGGAGGATTTAAGTGAATCTTTGAAAAGACCGCCCACTCCATAAAAAAATAAAAAATGCACATGCACAACCCTGTACACGCTCCCGAAAGGTAACACCTATTAAACGCGTGCGAGAGCGTGTACACTCTGTTTAAAAGTTGCTCTTTGCATCGCTCATACGATCTTACTTTCCAAAAGAAGATTTTTAATTTTTCCACTATGTCACACTCACCACCGGTAGGACAGCCTTACGTAAACATATCACCAGAATGACTGACAATTAGGAGGACCACTTATTTTGATGATCCACCCGGAAAAATAACATCCTTCACTATACCTTTAAGCTTTATTCACAGAGGGAGTAGGATGAATATCACAGCTGTCAGCTTCAGAGAAACTCAGTAAATCCCTCCATATGTTTAGGGCCCATAGCTAAGAGGGAAGCCAACATTACAACAGTTACCGTTACTGCCTTTTTGGGAAATCTGATATGCATATACACTCACCGGCCACTTTATTAGGTACCCCATGCTAGTAATGGGTTGGACCCCCTTTTGCCTTCAGAACTGCCTCAATTCTTCTTGGCATAGATTCAACAAGGTGCTGGAAGCATTCCTCAGGGAGTTTGGTCCATATTGACATGATGGCATCACACAGTTGCCGCAGATTTGTCGGCTGCACATCCATGATGCGAATCTCCCGTTCCGCCACATCCCAAAGATGCTCTATTGGATTTAGATCTGGTGACTGTGGAGGCCATTTGAGTACAGTGAACTCATTGTCATGTTCAAGAAACCAGTCTGAGATGATTCCAGCTTTATGACATGGCGCATTATCCTGCTGAAAGTAGCCATCAGAAGTTGGGTACATTGTGGTCATAAAGGGATGGACATGGTCAGCAACAATACTCAGGTAGGCTGTGGCGTTGCAACGATGCTCAATTGGTACCAAGGGGCGCAAAGAGTGCCAAGAAAATATTCCCCACACCATGACACCACCACCACCAGCCTGAACCGTTGATACAAGGCAGGATGGATCCATGCTTTCATGTTGTAGACGCCAAATTCTGACCCTACCATCCGATTGTCGTAGCAGAAATCGAGACTCATCAGACCAGGCAACGTTTTTCCAATCTTCTATTGTCCAATTTCGATGAGCTTGTGCAAATTGTAGCCTCAGTTTCCTGTTCTTAGCTGAAAGGAGTGGCACCCGGTGTGGTCTTCTGCTGCTGTAGCCCATCTGCCTCAAAGTTTGACGTACTGTGCGTTCAGAGTTGCTCTTCTGCCCACCTTGGTTGTAACGGGTGGTTATTTGAGTCACTGTTGCCCTTCTATCAGCTCCAACCAGTTTGGCCATTCTCCTCTGACCTCTGGCATCAACAAGGCATTTCCGCCCACAGAACTGCCGCTCACTGGATGTTTTATCTTTTTCGGACCATTCTCTGTAAACCCTAGAGATGGTTGTGCGTGAAAATCCCAGTAGATCAGCAGTTTCTGAAATACTCAGGCCAGCCCTTCTGGCACCAACAATCATGCCACGTTCAAAGTCACTCAAATCACCTTTCTTCCCCATACTGATGCTCGCTTTGAACTGCAGGAGATTGTGTTGACCATGTCTACATGCCTAAATGCACTGAGTTGCCGCCATGTGGTTGGCTGCTTAGAAATTAAGTGTTAACGAGCAGTTGGACAGGTGTACCTAATAAAGTGGCCGGTGAGTGTAAGTTCTAATTGTTGAAAGTAGCAAGGCTTTCGGATTTCTAACAAATATTTTACATTTAAGCCCTATTTCTAGATTGATTATAAGTCTGAAACAATAAGCCAGAAAAGATGATGTGGTTCCAAAACAATCTAGGTTGTGATCCCCAAAAAACCATGCCAGAGTAACAGCCCCTTTAAGATATATGTAGAAAAAATATTAACCCTGTATTTAACATGTGGTATTAAAATGTATTTTTAAATGACATTTATTTATGTCATCATTTAAAAGGCAGATATATGTTTTGCTGTCAATGATTAGTTATTTGATTGTGTATGTTTATAATTTTATGGTATATTTTATTATTTGATCATGATGAATGAATCATTCTTGCAATAATTTATTTGCACATTTATTTATTTTATGGTATTTTTTTTATTTTGCTTTTTATTTTGGCCCTCCATACTTCTCAGAGTAATATTAGAGGGTTTCCCCCCCCCCCCCCCCCCCCCCCCCCCCCCCCCACCCACCCACCCACCCAACCTGGAAAGCTGTATTGTAGAGCCTGTGGGCAGAGATGGTCCTGAACAGCCTCTCTGTCTGTGGAAACCAAGCTTGTTCTTTGAATAGTTTTTATAAAACCAAATGAATACTTTTTTGTTGTTGTTGCTAGTTGTTAAATAGCCTCCATTACCTAACACATTAATATTATTTTTTTTCCTCTTTTACTTCTACTTTCTTACTGCGTGATCACACAAACGGCACATCAGTTATAATAAAATAAACAAGAAAAACTTTTTACTTACCGTATTTTCACGACCATAAGGCGCACCGTACTAAAAGGTGCAGTCTCAGTTATGTGTCCCATTTCTGTATTTAACACACACATAAGGCGCACCGGACTATAGGGCGCGTTTTTTATATACCGGTACATGTCCTCTACTACCTTTAAATACCTCTACTGCGTATTTAAAAATACAGCGGTAGCAAAACTGAGTATGACTGTGCTTTATTCATGTATTTATTACAAAGTATTAATCAAACCTGGCAGCTGGCCGTGAGACAGACACATCGCAGATGACAGAGCGCTGTGATCACTCCTAAATTAACTTAAAATCCTGAAACCTGCCGACGGAATTTGTTCGCTTTTATTACCGGTATCCTGGTGCCTGCAGCTAAAATTATTTAGATGAAAAACACCTGCCAGCAGCCGCGGTGAACCTGGAGGCTGCCCAGCCTAGAGGCTGCTGTTGAAGGGATTTCTGCTGTCGGTGCACCGCTGGTATGTGGGGGTCTGAGCGCCTCCGACAGAAATAGATAATCTGGATGAACTGACTGCAATTATGAAGTTTTCAGGTGGACTTTCTCACTTAAAAACATATTAAAACTACTTTATTCCCACTGATCACAGCAAATATAGCTGCAAGATTTAGATTATTTAGATGAAAAAACACCTGCCAGCCGCTGCGGTGAAGAGGAGGAGACCCGGCCCAGAGGCTGCTGTTGAATTAAGTTTTCAGGTAGAAAAATAGAGCGGGAGCAAAACTGAGTATGATTGTGCTTTATTAATGTATTTATTACAAAGTATTAATCAAACCCATCAAAGTCATCATCCTCTGTTTCTGAATTAAACAGCTGCGCTAAATCAGACATGCCAATTTCCCCTTCTTCGCTGTCAGAGTCACTTTCTGTGCCGGGCGGCTCCTCAGAAATAATGCCGGCTTTTGCGAAAGCTTGAACAACAGAGCCAGCAGACACGTTAGTCCAAGCATCTACAATCCATCCGCAAACGGTGGCGTAACTTGCCCGGCGCTGCCTTCCACTTATCCTGAAACTGTGGTCTCTGTCGGTCATCCATCGCTCCCACGCCTCTCGCAGCCTTACTTTGAACGGCCGCTTCACACCGATGTCGAGCGGTTGAAGTTCCTTTGTCAGACCCCCGGATAACGGCGAGCACAGCGTTCATTTGATTCATCTTTTTTTCACATCGGCTGTGAGATGGGCACGCATGGAGTCACAGATTAACTGCGATGGTGATGCGTGGAAAAAAACACCTGTTCTCCTCACATACACCTGCCTCAGCCACGCTTTCATCATCTCCTCATCCATCCAGCCCTTTTCATTTGCTTTAATATGTCATCAGAGCGCTGTGTCTGTCTCGCTGTCAGCTCCCAGATCAGCTTCTCTGATTGGTTGATGCGGCGCGTCCAGCAGCAAAACTTCAATTTTTCCATCTCGAGCAGCAGCAGCGCGTTGGCGGTGCGTCAGATGCTTAAACGCTCCCGACGCGCTGCGCCTGCTGCTCAAAACGCGCTGCGGGACCTTTTGCTGCACCTATACGCGCGTCAACCATTGACTTTGCATGTAAACTCGCTGCTTCTGCTGCACCTGCTGGGTCCGGTTCACACCGATGTCGAGCGGTTGAACAGCGAGCACAGGGTTAATTTGTTTCACCATGTTTTTCACATCAGCTGTGAGATGGGCACGCATGGAGTCACATATTAACAGCGATGGTGATGAGTGGAAAAAAAACACCTGGTCTCCTTACATTCAGCCACTCTTTCATCATCTCCTCAATGAGGTGGTCTCAAAAGTCGCAGTTACAACACACATAGGGCGCACCGCACCAAAGGGCGCACCGCACATTTTGAGGGGAAAAAAAGACGTTTAAGTGCGCCTTATAGCCGTGAAAATACGGTAATCTGCTTTGAAGGCAGGAAAACACGACACAAAACGCGACACCACACCTCCACGAAAGCCAATCAGCATCCAAAGTGTATTTTAAAAGGCCTCCGATACGCACCTGTCTGCTCCCGTGTGCGGGCGGTGAACTTAATTCAGATGACACCGTTTCAACCCACCTCCAGCCCGTCCTCCACCATCGTAGCTAAAGTTTCAGCAGAGTGTCTTGCTGCATTCGCTGTCACATCTTATCAGGTCCGACAGTAGACCGCCATGTTGAGCCTTGTTCTGTCAGAGGTTTTTTCCCAACAGGGAGTTTTTCCCTCTCCATGTCACTTCATGCTTGCTCATCATGGACAGGTTCTATCAACCTGTGTTATCCTACTGGACTTCCATCTTCCAGGTCCCTGAGTGAAGCTCTAGTATCAGCTCACACAGTCCACTGGATCTCCCCATAAAGCTCAGCAGACCGTCTCTCTAACCACTAGTCTACAGACTGACCAACTTCATCTGTCTCCACTCCACCACCAGTTTCAGGCCTGGGGGGAAACAGCTATGTTCTTTACTATCAAATTAAGCGCTATGTTTCCCTCTGAGGTCTAAGCGCCAAAGACAAAGTAATTGTATCAATAAATTTCTCCTAATTGTCTTTTCTCTTCGTGTGAGTTTTTCAGATTGAACTTCCAGCCAATCACAGCAGAGCAACCTGTTCCCCTGGCTGCTGCTCCAATGTTGTTAGCAGCGTTTTGAATGATAAACACATTCATTTTGAGTCTGATTTGGACCCGTCTCTTTATCCCCCGATGTTCATTTTTAAACCTGCCGCCACTTACTTCCTGTCATTGGATGTGTTTCCCCCTTTCTCAGTTGCTTGGATACAGATGCATGTATTATGGTAGCTGCAGGATAGTAGAGGGAATTTTTTATTAGAAAGGAATAAAAGGCCTGGTTTGTGTCTTTTTACATTTTTTTTCAAACAAATAAACTTACTTGCCATTTTCTGTTTGGAATTAGTTTAAATCAGCAACAAATCAGGATATATTATAATTTATATTCTTAAAATGAATGAAAGTGTGTCTTCTCAGCCTCAAAAATAACTTTTGTCCTCAGTTTGTCCAGCTGAAGGTTAAGTAAAAAGGATTTGATGCATAAAAAGTACTTTAATGCATGGGTTTAATGCATGGGTCTTATTTATGTTTGTGAGGGCCTGTCTTGACCTTCTTGCATACGTCAGTGTAAATCGTGATTTATTTTTTACCCAAATCCACTTGTGCATCAGCTATCACCTGTATCTAAATTGGCAGAATGTCCATTTTGCACCATTCTGCTTTGCTCAGCTGCCCCTTTCCTCCATCAAAATGTGTTTTTATTTGAGTTTTTTTTTCCCCATTAGAGATCTGTGACATTTTTTTATCAACCTTTTATTTGAGGAGAGAAAACACTTTTTTATTTCTCCGCTGCACAATAACATATGCTGACAAATGGCTCTTCTTGGGTCAAAGCTGTTCATTTTATGTATTATCTTAGTTTGAAGTTTAAGTAAAACTAAAAAAAAGAAGAAGAAAATTATGACTGTTTACAAATTAATATGCCTTTCTCTACTAGAGAATTCTTTCTCTGAAGTTAAAGATGCTTTTATAGTTATATTTTCATCATAAAGCACTCATTATGCAGGTTTGGAATAAGATGTGATTGCATCTGTACTTTGCAGTCATAACATTCAATAGAACACACAGGTTTAGGTTTATGATCTGTTTGTTTGTAGAACTTGCCTTTAAGAACATTTATACTATTTTACTACCTTCCTTTACTAAAGAATTATAACGATATCTCCTCAATACACAAATGTCACAATAATGCCTACAGAAAAATGGACATTCTTATTATTTTTTTTAATAGCTGGCCATTTAGTCCTTTGTATCATAGAAGATTAGCTAAATGTTTATTAGAAGGAAAACGTTGAAAAAGGGCATTAACAATGGTATGACTGCACCCTTTAGAGTATCATAATAGTGCTGTATTCTCCAGAATATAGAGCTCACCTCACTATAAGCCGTGCCCACTAAATAAAAAAAAAAAAACAACTGGAAACATACTTACATAATCTGCACATAAGAGCCCAGTCTCTTCATTGGTTTAGCAGCTCTTCAGCAGCTTTAATAAGGCAAACAAATGTCAAAATGTGTAAATTCGAGACATTTGTTCTCCGTTGTGCCTGCTGCTGTTATGTGATTTTGCTAAATGAAAATTAAGCCCCTTATTCCTTCATTTTGTACTTTGACTTCCCCCTCTGGTGGTTAGGAAAAATCCACAGAAAAGCCGAACCTTCTTAAAAAACTCATGGGTCAAAGCATGGGAAAAAAGTAGCAGCTTATAGTCTGGATACTACGGTAATTCTTTTTTACTAGTAGACATTCCTGAACAAAGATGATGAAAAAGAGGCCTGTAGTGTTACTCAGTCCGAAGTTTCCCTCTCAGATCAATAAAGTTAAATTTATTATTATTTATTTATAAGTGACAGCAGAGAGGCTGCTCATTGGTCTGACTCCATCCGCGATATGTGTTCTTTACAGGTTTGGAGGATTTTTTTTATTCCTCATTTCCTATAAATGAAGACTAGCTTAGCAATTTACAGGAACTGCGGCAGCTTTGTTGGTAGGAAGAAACCTGCCTTGGTTATGATTGATAAGAATCCATAATTCCTGCCTTAAATCAACAAAACAAGTCAGATGGAAGTCAGTGACCCTTATGTCCTCATGATGGTTTCACTGATTAAAATAACGCAGCATTTTTAAGGCTCTCGCAGCAGTGTTCTGTGTGCTAATAGTGAAACTCATTGTTGCCGATGACGGATCTTTCCAGGAAATTCTTTAGAGTCTCTGCAAAGTTTTCATAGTCTAAATAAGCATGATGAACACTTTTTATTAGATGGCAGCTGTTTTCGTCTTTGCAGGTAAGCTAGGCCTGCAGAACAGGTTTGTCCTTAAAAAGAACTTCTTCCCTCTGTTGAATTGAGATCATCATGGTTCTGACAGGACGTGTGGGCTCTGTAAGATGATCCAGTAACTGTCTGTTGGTGTTTTGACTCCAATGTGCCAGAAACCGTTGGCAATATTTTGTTGTGAATCCAGCTTTTTCTACAGAAAGGACTTTCCTTCCCACTCTTGCAGCACTTCTGAGTTGTATTTTGGGAAAATAGTTTTATGGAAAATAGTCAGCTGAGCTTTACTGGCAAAATAATGTGACACTGCTCATATTCTATCCGTTATCTCACTAATTGGCTCAAATCAATTGCTTGTTTCCTGTTAACTGTGAAACTGACTGTGAGACAGTCAGTTTGCTAAAATTGTTGCAGCTTTTCTTTGGAGCATTGCTCAATTCATCCTTGTTTGTTTTTGGGTTTTTTTCCCCACAGCTTAAAGAAAAATGCCAAAGAGCGGCCAACATATGCGGAACTCATGGTGAGTTTTCTCTTTTGTTTTCACACTCTCCTCAGTTTTATTATTGCTTTTTGTCAACTTGGCTTAAAATACGCAGTAGGGAGATTAAAGGCTACTGTCTGTGTTTCTATATAATCTACTATTACCAAACAAGGATCCCAATTGATCAAAAAGATATTCAAAAAGTGATTCATGCACACAAGAAAGTCAGTCAAACAAAACACAGAGATTGATCTAACCAAACACACCCAACAAAACCAAACCAACCCACACTAGACCAAAGCGGTTATCCTCCACATTGTTGCGGCCATTTATGTCATGCTGCAGAATGAACATGTAAAGATGTAAAACCTCTGCAAGCAGACATATTGAAGACACAAAGAGAGGAAAAAGCAACCAATGAAAATTTAGAGTTCTATGACGCCTGAAGGAAAATCCTCCAAGACAGACGATGACAACCTAATAAGAGTGTGATCCACAAAGAGATAAAAAATAGTGACAACAAACCTGCCAAATAATTGAAAATTGTGTAAATAAAAAAAAAAGAGAAACAGAACAATTTACAGCAAATTTATCAAATTCTACTGCAGATTTATATGCAGAAAAATATGGCTTTACATATCTTTACATTAAATTTGCAGGCGCCGCGACCACTAGAGGGCGCCAAAGCAAAACAGAAAGATGCTAAATAACTCCTACAAGTCATTACTGATTTAGGTTTAACCAGTCTATTCTACTCAATGGCAGCCCAAACTGGGTAAAAACCAAGTTTAAATTAATATTTAAGCAAAAGTGTGACAAATGAGCACAGATGCAAAAAAAAAAGTAAAATGTTTGTAATAACTTCAAATGCTTTATGCTAAGTGAGAAAGGCATTCATAAGTTTAACTTATTTATTAAAGAGAAAATTGGGTAGAGGGAGAAAAATAGTTCTTTGTCATAATAGACAAAACACGCAAAGCTTGTATGTTAAAGCCTGACCCTCTGCTCTTACTCAGACTAACCTGATCTCCATCTCCTCCTCAGCAACATCCCTTCTTCACCTCCCACGAGGCCAAAGAAACCGACGTGGCTAGCTTTGTGAAAGTCATCCTGGGAGACTGAGTTCTACATGCGCACGGCGCAGAGGGAGGAAAACTTAAATAAAATAAAATAAAATCCCGCCATATAAAAAGCCCCTGCCACAGCCCCAAGCCCCCCCCCCCCCCCGTTCACCCAATCATCGCTCCCTTTCACCCCTTCAGAGTCCAACCAGAGGATGAAGCAGAACGAGGAGGCGGCCTTCTTGTTCCCTGAAAGCTGGCGGGAGGGGTGAGGGGGAGACCCTTTGTATAATCTGGAATAATTCAAGATGTTTGTATGCAAAAGCCTCGCTCTGTGGTCACATTAGATCCACCCAGTACTCCCAATATTAACGAAGCTGACCACGGCATTCATCATTGCGTTCAAACTTGTTTTCTTGCTGGAGAGTTATGGAAGATATGTAGATCTTATAAAGAAAAAAAAGAAAACAAAAGATGGATGATGTAACGCTTTCTGTGTATAATCTAAATGTTTGCCTACTCAAAGCAAAACTCTTGCATCAGATTGTTTACTGAGTGCATGTACAGAATATATCTCTGATGGCCAATGATGAGCAGCCGTGGAGCCTGGTCCTAGACTTCAGAGCCCCCTAAGGGTCATTAATAGGTACCGCAGTGCAACTGCTTTCCTTACCGATGACGTTTACCTAATGCATCTTCGGCTCTAGGCTGCCTGTGAGTGTTGGTGATTGTGTGCTGTGAGGTGATGGATGAGTTCAAACGGATGCAGGTGGGGGTAGAGCCAGATTTGAGTCACTTTTGATTGTGAGAGGTCCGCAGATGAGAGGATGGCTGATGTTCAGCATTTCAGGGCCATTGAGCTGCATCAAATTAATCCGATTACCTTAACTTTCATGAGACGATCTGCGTTCACTTCTGAAGGAAAAAGTAAAAAGGTCGGTTAGTATTAGTTGACAAGCAGCGGTACTAAAAAGAGGTAGAATAAAACTGTCTGATGTCACATATCTGATTTAAAAAAAAATCATAATTTTAACACAAAAGGCTTCAGAACAGCATGCATGCTTGTTTATGGTGGAGCGGGCTGACATTTTGAATAAATCTTCAAATTAACATTAGATCATTTTTTTTCTTTCAACTTTTGACCTGCTGATACCTGATCTTTTGTTGAACTAAAGAAGAAAGGAAGCAGTCTTCAATAATGATAAAGGTTTATCCTCAAAAACTGATGTCAACATAAAGAATAATTTGATTTTTAAAGATAGTCTAATAGTTATTTCTCCTGTAAAATGTGTCTTTATACTATATAAAACAGTAAAAGTTAAAGCTGACAGATCATGACGGACCTGTAACTACTTTATCTATTTTTGATGATCCAGGGTTATATTTGATTTATTGGCTATAAATGCATTAGCACTTATCTTGTCTCTTCCTACCTTTTCATAGTTTTTTCTGGTCTGGATATTCAAGCTCAGAGTGATTTCCTGTGAGTTTGAACAAACCGAAACCAAAAGACTCTTATGTTTGCTTAAATAATAAAGATTTATCTATTCCGGTACAGAGCGGCCATAAAAGTTATAAATACTCCTTTAGTTGGACAGTGTTTGAACGATTAAATTTCCTCAACCTTTGACCAATAAGTAGTGATCCTTCTCCTTCTAGTTTTGATTTGTTGCAGCTCATGGTTTTTTTTGGGATGCTGGATGCAGCCACGCCGACCTCCACACGCTTTATTTTCAGCCAGCGTTTGTATTTTGCATTGCGTCTGTATTTTGCTCCATATCCTCCTCCTTTTCGTACTGAGCCAATCACAACCCTCTCCACTCCATGCTCACCATAAAGGAACTGGACATTGTTACCATTATTGTTGTTAATACTTTATTAATGTTATTATTTAGGACCACCCCTGAATCCATCTTACACTCATATCAACTGCAGTTACTCTTATTTATTACAACTGCTGTGTCCTTCTAATGACTTGAGCGATCCACTAGAGACTCTTCTCGCTTGCCTCTGCGGGCTGCGTGTGTTTTTGTTTTTGTGTTTTTCTGGGCTCGAACAGGTAAATGCTTTTAAAATGTAACTTTTATACCTTCTATGTGCCTCTATAATGGGAAAAAAAAACAAAAACACGTCCAAGAAAATGAGGATGATGCAGGGTTGGGCTCCCTCCCTCTTCACTCACTGCATGGCATCATATTCCCACTTCCTGTCGGCTTTTAGGACTTTTCGTTTCTCTGTGATGTTGCTCTTGCAGTAGTTTGAGGGTGTTTGTATTCGTGCCTGTTGTTGCCTTGGTTGGTTCGGAGGGCAGGTTTGGAGACGCTGCGGGGAATCGAAATGATACCCTCGCCTTTTCTTGAACCTTAAAGCTCTCTTTATTTTCAGTCACTTTTTGTTGTGTTTTTATTTCAGAGCTCAAAGCAGGATCTAATGATTTTAGTTTATGCACTGTAGAAATGCTGAGTTTTTGGCCTTCAGAACCAACTTTCTACCCTTCTTCTGCTTTAGTCTTGTATTTTGTCTTGAGCTTTTTTCTGTTTTTGCAGATTAAGTAATAACCTGTTGGCTTAGACCCCACCGCCTTTAGCTCAGAGGACTCCTTAAAGTGTTAAAATCCTCAAATGAACCGTCACCTTTCAATGTTTGTTCTGGCTTCGAAGCGTTAGCTGCTGGTGCTGCAAAGAGGGAAAACACTGAACGGTAAATGATCAGAAGAAAGCGGACAGTTGCAACAAGGGCTCTATCATTATTACACTGATGTTGATGATTTCTTTGACAGTTTTTCTAAACTCCAACACAGCTCCAAATACATCTGTAAAAAGCTGCAACACCTTGAGAAACCTTTTTCAAAAAGCTGGAAAGGTTAACATGAATTAACAGTTTTACACACACACACACATATATATATATATATATATATATATATATATATATATATATATATATATATATATATATATATATATATATATATATATATATACTGTATACTTTGTTTTTTGTTAAATTAATTTTCTTTTTTTTTTCTTTTTTTCATTTTCAAGCTTAATTGACATACACAATAATGGCATGGGCAGTACTTCTTGTTCCTACAAAATTATTGTAATTTTTTTAACACAATAATTTTTTTTCAGATAAAGGTAACCTGAGTGAATAGCAAATGAAATCTTTTTTTTTTTCTCAGTACCTTTATCGTTAAAAACAACTGAGGACTTGCTACAGAGGAGCTAAAGACCCACATGCAGGTCTGGTGCCAGATGTTCCAAACGTTATTGCTTTAACAATTATTTTCTTTCCAACAACCGCTGCATATCTAATACTTGCATTTTAAGAAAATATAGACCTCATATATATTGATTTATTTTTATCTTTTTTTGCTTTTTCATGGATTTAATTGGAGAAATGTATTTCAATATGTTCCATATCTGACAAAAACAAAAGGAAAAACAAAAAACACCCTTCTGCATTTGGTAAAATAGAATATCAATAAAAGTTTATGTTTTAGAACATTTAAAATAGTGTTCAGGTGGAAACAGCTGTATGTAGGGTGGGTAGTTCTGTGAAGAAATGTTTTTTTTTTTTTGGTGAACAGATGGTTGAGGAGGAAGAGTGATAGAAGAAAAACGGGGTCTTCCACCACTGAAGGGTTAAAAGAATTTGAAATAAGATCCTGCATATGTTTGCTAACACAGGGTGCTTATTAAATAATAGGATAGCCTCCCACATTAGTGTGAGATCATTGCAATGACCAGCAGCAGGAGATGTCAGGCTACTTAGGCTGTGCCCTTTTATCCCAAACTCTGTTATATGTTAAATATAAGTGTTTCAAAATTGCTTGTATTATATTGCTCATATATAACTTTAATTATCCAATCAGATAAATAAAGAAGTCAACAGCAGACTATTAGGCATAGACAGAGAGGATATGTTAATTATTCTTTATTTTTTAGCAGGTCTAATCCACATCTTTGCTGCTGGACTCAAAATTATAGTTTCCTCTACAAATTTGGTATCGCTTAAACAAAAAAAAAAAAAAAAGGGTTTACTATTTCAAATGAGCATTTTTTAAATAAAGAAATAATGGGCCAAGGAGAAATGTCCTTTTTTTTTGGGACTGTATTAAAATCTGCTACGTATCCACAGTTGACCTAGAAAGAGTTTTCAAATGGCTGAAAAGAAAGAAAACCGGTCAAGCATAAATCATATCTTCATGCTTTCTTTTCTCTCCCAGTCTGGTAACTTGTTAAACAGCAGAACTGTCTTTATTTTCATATCTTTGGAAATAATAGTGAAACCATTCCTCTAAGAATCTTCAGCACCTTCTTTTCTGCATCTTTGTCGCTTCTGTTGCTTGTTCATGTTTGTATGTATGTAGGAAGTCTATTTCCACCCTGGTATCACCTGCCGGGTGAACTTTGCTCGCCGTGGTCAGGACGTCAGCGTGGGAACATCCCATGACAATCTGACTTCACGCCAGCAGCAGGCACGTATGTGTGGATGATGCAGCTTTAGCGGTAACCGTTTATTTATTTTGTCGTTGAAAGGTCGTGAAGAGATGTGAGCCTTGAAGAGAATTGGAGGAAATTAGTTTTTTTTTTTTTAGTTTCACATGTTTAAAGTTTAAAGAATTATCAGAAAGCCTGCGGTTGAGGGAGAGTTTAAGCCCTTTACAGATTATTTTTTAGGATTATTTCAGGTGTAAATCTATCGTTTGCGTGTGCACATTTCTCATGCTGCAACATGACTTGTGACCCCGTGGAGCTTTCTGTTGGTAAACCGCTGGTACACACAGCTGTATGTAACTTCTGATGTTGCGGTGTTGTGTTCTTTAATCTGGGATGGGGGGAGGGTGTTAATCCTGGGATGCTACTGTACATGGAAGAGGGTCTTTTCATTGCTGTTGGGTGGGTTTGGGGAGGGTTACTTTGGGTTTACAGCTCCATGGGAAGTGAAGTTCTCAGTATATTTCCATGTCTCTTAAGCCTCCGCTAAAGACTGATGACTGTTCACTTAGAGCTCAACGAATTTCTATAAATAATTTAGATTGCTCAAAATGATTGTGTGCAATTGTAATGATGGAAATTCAATAAAAAAGAGGTATTTTTACACAATAAATGTTGCCTGTTTCTTGTGCATTGCATCATGTTATTTTTGGAAGATAAGATTAAAAAAAATAAAAGTCAAACATGTAGATATGATAAACTCAGTCATCAAAAATGTTCTGGGTCAAAACTGATTGCTGATTAAACCATTACCAGCATTTAAAGAAAAGCAGCCCATAGCATGATGCTGCCACTTCCATATTTCCTAGTGGGGTTTTGTGTGACATGGTGTGAAAGGTCAGAGTTGGTTGCTACAGACATACATTCATTTGTCTCTCTTATCAAGAAAAAACTTGTCTTTCAGCTAACAGAATCAATAATTGTTTTCATCCTTCTGAAACTAATACTTTTTTGTTTAGACATCTTGGACATAGGCAAAAATTAAACATTCTAGAAAAAGTGAAATAGGTTCCTTAGAGAACACACTTAAAAAAAATCTAAATACCGCCCAGGAGGAAATAAAGCAACCAGAAAATAATAAACACATTAATATTCCAAACAAAAACATTTTTGAAGAAAAGTTTGAAAAAAATATATATACATAGTAATGTTGCATTCAGTATTTACATAAAGGGCAGGTGGTCTATTTTATTACCCACAGGGTGTGAATAAAATCTTGTTTATGTGTAGCAGAAGATGTGGATGTGTGTGGCCATGTTTCTGTTACCTTATGGGGACTATTTCCCAGGAATTTTACACATTATGGGTGCTGATGAAGATTCCCAGTCATCCAGGTCATAGTCATTCCATTAAAGTTTAAAAAACAATCCACTGGACTGGGTTTCCAAGGTTTGAAGACGTTTCGCTTCCCCTCCAGGAAGCTTTCTCAGTTAATTGCCCAATTCTCACTAACAGTAGAGAAATGAAGAGATTTTGGTCACCTGTAGGACACAACCAACCAT